AACATTAAAAAAAGTTAGATTTCCTATCTCCTATGTGAGTGCTCTTTCTCTGTACTCCAGGGATTCCAAAATACAATACAGTCAACCGGTCAAGGCAGAGACTGTGCAAATAGGAGCCCCCACAGGCATGTTTTTCCTTTGAGGCCAGCCAGCTCTGTCTGACCCCAAAGCCCGCGTCCCAACCACTATTCTTTGTCTGTTGACACTAAAAGAATCACTGAAAAATCAGAACTGAGAACGAAATATAAATCAAAGTTTTGATGAAAAAAAAAATCAAATGAAAATTGCAACAGCAACGGACTATACTATTTGAAATATGCAAATGTATTCAGTTTCATGCAAGAATGTGTGTTCCATTATGTTTGAAGACTGTGGTTCTCCTTCCAAATGCCATGTCTCAATTCATCCGTTTTACAATATTTTACAGAATGCAGAATAGGCCAAAAGAATATATAAAATATACACGTGTGCTGTGCAGTGCTTTCTGCTATGTTTTCTCCTTTCTATAGTTGTAATCTTATGTTTCCGGCCATGGCAGGATGCAGTCTTAAACCTCCAAGGATCTCCCATGAACTACTTTTTAATACATACTGGCTAACTTGAGATACAAAGGGGACACGGCTACAAAAATGTATTTTCCAAGGGCAGCCACAAGAGTATCTTCTATCCCGCATACTCGACCTAAAGGCTTTTCACTTCAAGAGGCTTGATAAAACCTTTACCTTCAAAAGTAAACATAAAAAAATATAAGTTTGCTTCACCTTTTACTTGGCAAAATTTGGGTGACAATAGTGATGTGTTTAGAAGCTATAAAACAAAGTGTTGAAATCATGGTGTAATTTTCCTAACAAATCCTTTTGGAAGCATGAAGCAACACCCTTCAATTCACACTTGACCTTCTACAGCGTCATGATGAGAGGGTCTCTTTGGAGCAGAAATAATATTCAAAGCCTTCGTCAAGAAATGAATTAATGATGAGGGGGGAAAAGGGACTCTAAAAAGA